TGCTGGCCACCACCGGCAAGAAGGCGCCGGGCTGCGTGCTCTCCAACCCCGACCAGAAGGGCAAGATGCGCCGCATCGACTGCCTGCGCCAGGCCGACAAGGTGTGGCGGCACCTGGGCATTCGACAAGGTGTGGCGGCTGGACCTGGTCATGGTCATCCTCTTCAAGGGCATCCCCCTGGAGAGCACCGACGGCGAGCGCCTGGTCAAGGCGGCGCAGTGCGGCCACCCGGTGCTCTGCGTGCAGCCGCACCACATCGGCGTGGCCGTCAAGGAGCTTGACCTCTACCTGGCCTACTTCGTGCGCGAGAGAGGTGAGCCGGGGGTGGTGGGGGGCGCCGCTGTGCGAGGGAGAAGGGGGGCTCATGCCAGGCCAAAGGGAGGAGGCAGCATATGTGAGGTCTGATGTGGGCGGTGGGTCCAGGCACAGTCCGAGGGAGGAGGCAACCTCCGCCGTTGGATCGGGGAGTTGGCCTGCGCAAGGTCCGAGGGAGAAGGCTGCCAAGCGCTGTGAGGGTGGGGTGGGCGCAGAGGGAGTCTAAGGGGAGAAGTGGGCCTACAAGGGGGCTCCAGGGCACAGGCTCACTCGATGTGAAGGTCTGAGGGAGGGAGATATGATTCAAGGAAAGTGTGATGGGAAAGCAGACACGTCCTGAGAACCTGAAGGTGGAGGCCTTGATGTCTGAGGAGGTTGGCGTGCCCTTGGCGTCTCAGGAGATGAGACTCTGTCCCAGGTCTGATGGGCACAATATGGCCTGTTGGGGACAGGAATGGGGACAGGAGAGTGACTGATGGGAGACAGTTGGTTGATGAACAATCTGATCCCTCTGGGGAAAGCTGGGAGGGCGCTGGGGCTGTGCGCTGCGAACACTGGTTGATTGACTCTCGGACCTCCAGCGGAGGCCCAACAGGGCACACGTTTGTGTGGTGAGTGGGAACCTTGGGTGCTGAGTGACTTTGGCCAGGTCACCACCCTCTCTGGTCCCCAGTGCCCCCGGCTCTGGCCCTTTCAGCTGGGTGTTTGCTGGTTCTGTGGTCAAATGCCTGAGGTTGAGACCAGCAGGGATTTTGAGGGTGAAGACAGTCCGTGGCAGCCTCCTGGAAGAGGAGGGGTGGCTGAGCTAAGTTCTGCAGGATGGCTGGGCAGTGGCGGCTGTGAAGGTGTCCCCGTGGCGGGCAGCCTAGGCAGAGATGTGGAGGCCAGATATTGGTCCAGCCTCTTGAGGTCACTGGTGCCGGTGGCCAAAGCCAGGGCCGCTGCTTCCTGTCTGTGTGTCTGTGTTCCAAATGCCGCCCCGGCGTGACTTTGGCTGTCTCACAGTTCTGTGCCTCAGTCTCCCCGCTCTGTACAATGGGAGAAGGGCCATGCCGACGCCTAGCCATGGTGTAAGGATCAGATGAGTCTGTGGAGCTCCAGGTCTCCAGGGTGTGTAGGAGGGAGAGCCAGACAGAATTTCCCAGTTTTGACCTTGGTTCCTTGACCTTGACCTCATCGGCCCCTCGCCCTGCCCGCACCAATTAGTAGCAAGCCCACGAGGGCAGCAGTGCAGCAGTGTTGGCGGGTGTGGCGGCAGAGAAGTGGAGGAGGTGACTGTCTCAGGCAGAGGGCAGGGGGCAGGGACTGCCTTGGCTCATTACCATGCAGGTCCAGGTCTCCCCCTCCACATCCATCCTCGCCACCCAGCCCCACCCCCACCTCCTCTGAGCTGAGCTGATAAAATTTTGAAGCAGAGTTTTCTGCCAGCGTCAGCACAATCTCCAGGCGCCTCCCCTCCCCC